AAAAGACGAAAACACTAGGAGCCAGGTAGAGATGGTATAAAGCAATGAGAATTCAAATTTAGGGGGTGGAGGAGGTTAGCGAAGCAGCGAAGGATAGCAGGAATAGAGAATTAAATTTGCAATTTGTGTGACCGTTTGACCCTGCAAGGCACTCAGCTTAGCACCAGTCAAATGAATAAACAACCACATTATACTTTCTCCTGGCTGAAGGCAAGATGCAGGTACGCTCTGAGGCTGAAAGTCTGTTCATTCATTGCATTCACGTCCTCCGGGAAAATAAAATACACCTCACGTCAGCTTTCAGGCACTGCTGCTTGAAAACTCGGTCAGACAGTGGAAGGTGATTTTTCAGATTTTCTGAATTCTAAAGATAAAAAATATATTTTTTAAAAACCTGCACACCTGTGCTTGAAACGACGGCTTCCTTTCAAATCGTCGTACCCTCAAAGTGAATGACTTCCATCTCATCAACTCATTTCCTCATCATGTCTTTTTAAAGGGCATGCACGGCACTCACTGCAAGTGATTATTTTGTACGTGGTTAACACAGAAATTCTTGGCTGTAAAAGATAAATTCTAACGTCAACAGCAGGCAGCTGTTTTCAGCAAAACTAAAAGCCCAGTGTGCACTACGTGTTCAACACCAAACAGCAGACGGACACAGAAAGCAACTAGCCGGTGAACATAGAGGAGGATTTAGCAGCTAAAGAGACAGATATTTCTATCAGGTAGAGACGGAAGCATGATTGCTAATGATTGCTAATGTTGCTCGTAACTGCTGTGTGTGAAAGTAAGCAAATATTTGAATACAATTTTAGTAACAACGCAGATGATGATCAATGATTTGTTCATAACTTGTTCCCACAAAAATAAGAAATAAGACAATTTGCTGGTTTAGGCAAGACTAGTATTTGATAGTCGTCACTGGCAGAGCCTTATAAGAGTCCATTAAGGGATCATCATGGCTTAGTTTTGACTTGATAGGATACCAAAAAAAAAATCTCTCTTACTGGTGTAGTGTGTTCAGAGCGTGTACTCATTCAGAGCGGGGGCCGATTTTTTTGGCCCCAGATAGTGTTTGTGCGGCATTGTTGAAAAGCGCACATTGCTTGTTCACTTCAGGGAAGTGAAGAAGAGTTTGTTTGTGACATTGGTATGTTCAGCATCCAGCAACAAAAGTGAACTGCAGTCAATGAGCCGCGGCCTGTAAAGGCCCGCTGCTGACGACACGCTCGTCTCAGTCCACAGAGCCCTGAACCCCGCCCCCGCTGCCCTGAACCCCGCCCCGTTTATTTAAAGTTTGTTATTACTGAACTAGTCTGCAACTTCGACACTGTACGTCCTCGGGTCTCCAGTAACACACCCGCCAAGTGTGAATTAGGTCGGATGGACGGTTCTCGAGATATGCAAAGGACATACACAGACAGACAGGCAGGCAGGCAGACAGACAGACAGACAGACAGACAGACAGACAGACAGACAGACAG